TGCTAAGGGACGTTCAATTATGTCAAAATTGTTCACAAGCTCGTTTTTTTGTCAAAAGACGACTTCAGCTCCTCAATTTGTTGGAGTTGTGTGCAGGAAAAGAAAGGGAAATGAAAAAAGATGAAGAATGTTTGTAGAAAGTGTTATGATATTTGATTTTCTAATGATTACCGATTGAAAAAGCAACATTCCCACTGTTTTTTGTTTCAAACAGGAAAATTTGTTTTTTCCTCTTGTCAGCTGCCATATTATGTCAAAAACAACCATCACTTTTGCAAGGTTTCTTATCACCACATTTCTTGTCTTGTCTCTGAAGTATCAATCCTATGTTCATGATGAAGACATTTCACAGAGTAAACTTAAGGCTCAATATTTTCCTCTAGTGATTTTGATCTCACCACCGTATATTTGCTCAAATTCGAGAGGGTATAGTGTATGACTGGGTATCAATTTTGTGATCAGCACCCTACTAGACCACTCTTAGACAAATTTGTGATTTCGACCACTATAGCACATACTGCTAATGCTATCTCGTAAGGTAATCAGACATGTTGTTTACTAGAATCAAGTGCAATCCCACACGACAGCTTACCGTAATCCTGCGGCAAGAATCCGTCGTGGGGGAATGGATTTAATCCTAGTAAACAACATATTTACCTTACGAAATAGCATTAGCAAGTTCTAAGCTTCTTGCATTCCAGTGAACAAGCTTAGTCCCTTGAGCTTTTTGGTAGTCTAAGCTTTCAATTTCATTACTGTAGCATAGAAAGCTAAAGTCATCGATAGAACAGGCATACTTCTTGTTGAGCGAGACTTTTTCTTTCAGACATTATGATGTCCTGTCAAAACTTCCGGTTTTCTAGAGATTTTTGACTTTTACGGCACGAAAACTCGACAATCTAATAGTTACCCTTTATATAGAGCATATCGCTTATGTTGCGCGAAAGTTGACCATGCAGCACTTACGCGGAATTCCAAATTATTCTTCGCTTGAATAAGGCGTCACTTATAAAAGCCAACAACATCCGGGTGTTGGAAAAAATTGAAAATTTGTAATAAGTGGCCAACTTAGATAATGAATGTTCATTGACAGACGTATGTATTAATGCAGTTCTCATAGAATTTGTCAAGATGTTAGTGTATACAACAAGAATATAGTGAAATAGAATCCAGAAGTTGTTCAAGAAAATTCTTTTTGCATCTATGCATAATATGTCGTATATCGAGCTTAAAAAATGGTTTACAATATCTAATGTCCACATCCATTCCAAATTCAAACGGATTCATTGATTTAACATGATACACATATGTAAGTAGATAACAATAGATAAAGTCGTGAAGTTTTACAACCATATAACAGGCATTTTTTACTCCCACTCTCTAATACTCTCTCTTGCAGACCTCCCATAAGAAAATACGTTCGCAGTGCTAGTGCATGCATACGAACGCTGTATGAGAAAATTAAAGAAGCAGCAAGCAATATGTCTCGCAACGTCTTAATATAAATGACATACATCCAGGCCTCGGCACGAGGTCTCCGTTGCCCCTTACGAGAACGAAACTCCGCTTGAAAATCCAGGAACTTACGAAGCACCCTTTGTAACCTATACAAAGGCCTGCAATCAGGACAAGCACTGCAGTGCTGTATTCTTGGAGCGCGTTTTCTTCGTCAAGGCAAAACGATTCAGCGCCTCAGCAAGGACGGGAGAAAGTGCTTTGATTTGGTTATTGCGCCGTAAGTTGGGGAGGTGCACGAAAACTGTTTGATATAAGGAAAGAAAATGTGAAACAAAAAGCGTTTGCTAATCGGAGACCTGAGGTATCCCGTAGCTCTCTGCCGGAGACCTAAATCTCAAGACGTGCAACGATTTTTTTATTCTCTCAGCTGTTGATTGAGCCCTAGACCAATATTGTTAGCTTCGGCTGACGTTTCGGCGTCCCGCCTTCTTCAGAGCCTAGAAAGTCCAAGGTATTTGCAATCTACCCTCCCAAAACGCCTCCTCATTTCACCAGAGTCCAATCAACAGCCACAGAGCGAGAAACAGTCTCAATCAAACGAACTAAAATAGCGCTCACCTTCTTAGCCTTCCAGACAAAAGCGACCACCTATTGTAAAGTTGCACCGGTAGTACTACTGATTGGTAATATGTAAATCTCTCCCCGAATCTGATCCGAACTCGACTCCGTAGGTCAAACCCCCTCCCCTCCTCCCAGAGAGCTCGATACGATGCCAGTTCGTTGGTCACAGCAATTTCTTCATCCTGTTTATTTTTGGATTTCGTAAAATAGTCCAAAACGCCAGGAGAGTTTTGCGAGCTGTGTTTCAGGTTCGTACGACAAAATCTTGACAGCCGTGTCCAATGCATGATTTTCATGACATCTGCGATACATGACGGTGTAGTTGGTTTTGATCTTCCATTCAAGTGCTCCTTAATTCTAAAACCCAGCGATCTTCCCGTTTCGCCTACATATTCCTCACCTGATTGCCATGTGGTGAGATAAACCACCCCCGATTTTGCGCAATCGCCTGGTCGTCCTCGTGGGCACACCGCGCAACTAATGTTGTGCAGATGGTATCGTATGCCTTGTTGCAGACCGATTGTTTCTTTAGCTGGGTAATGGGACATCTATGACTCTCACATATTCCTGTAAACCCGTATGACGCAGGCATCCTGGTATCTCTGCTCAAGTCGTCTGTGAGTCGCAAAGATGTTTTGCGTTATTGTACACCGTAGGAGACCGCACTGCTGTTTTGTACATGTAATATAATCGAACTCTTTATGTTTTTGGGATGTGCCGAGTGTCAGTGGACTAGTAAGTTTTTACTACGTTTTTACTACTAGGTTTG